AAAAACACCCTTAAGCAAAACTGCCAGCAAAACAGATTTAATTTTCATTGCAGTTTTTCATGGGGTCAAAAATCCCCCCATCCATTTCCCAATCGCTATTTCAAAAGCCCCATACATAACAAAACTTGACACATGAACCCCATTGCAGAAGAAATAGTCTGAGACCATAAAAATAAAAAAAAGAGGAGAAGAGTGAAAAGCCAGGCTGCAAGAGCAATCCGTAAGCAAAACCAGAGAGTACAAAGCGTCCCTCCAGCTAGAACATAGCCTCAGTCATTCAGTTCCAGAAAGAACACTGGCTTAAAGCGTATAGCATAAGCCTCTCCCACTGGACACACTCCTCTGACCAGACGTTCCCTCTCAAAAAGGCACAGGCAGCTTGATTTAACTTGGAGACCATCACCGAACTGCATTCCTACATGCTGTCATGATGGGTAAGGATTAAGATTGTGTTGGGGGGGGGGGAAGGAGTTGCCAATCAGCACTGCACCCCAAGCAGAAGGCTCACGCTCATTAAATCCTGCTGGACTTGGCTCTCTGGGCAGCAGAAAGCTTTTTCTGAAGTAACCAACAACAACAAAAATAATAATCACAGCAGGACCACAGTGCTGGAGAGAGGATGGTCAAGTGGTTAGGTTGTTAGCCTGGGACCTGGAAGGCCTAGGTTCAGTTCTGTGGTCTGTCATAGATCTGTGTAATCCTGGGTAAATCACAGTCTCTCTGTGCCTCGGTTCCCTATCTGTAAAATGGGAACAATAACACTGCCCTACCTCACAAGGGTGTGGTGAGGATAAATACAAAAAAGATTGTGAGGTGTTCAGATAATGGGAGCCATGCAAGTACCATAGATTGGTGGGTAAGGAGTGATGCGTGGAGTGCACTTGAGATGGTAATGAATTTTTCTTCTCCCATTGCCTCCGAGGCTGCCTGTATTGACTGACCACAATCCTCCATGACACTGGGGATTAAAACAGCAAGCCAAGCCAAGCCATCTGAACTCTGGATACATTCGTAGGTTCCTATATTATATATGACTCTGTGCAGCAACCCGACTGCGTAGACTGTAAGCTCCTTGGGGCAAGGACTGCTTTCTGTTCTGTTTGTGTATCACCTAGCTCAATGGGGCCCTGGTCTATCATTTCGTTTCCTAGATGTTACAGCAATAATGGTAATAAGTAGGAAGGAACATAAAGCCATCTCTATGGTACCTATATCCATTAGCTGCATTAATGCAAGTACTATGCTTTCGTAGATTGACAAATCAGGCCCTATACATCTTATTGATCTTTTACACTAAGGCCACTTTACACCCACTTTACGTTTCCAGAGAAGCATATGGGTAAATTATACCTTCTTTAAATGGTCCCTTTACACTGCCAGATCAGTATAAAGTGGCCTGAATGTAAATGAGAAAGAATCAGGTTCATGACAGATAAGAAAAACCTCCAATATAGCTCCCACAGCACGGGGGAAATGATGATGATGATAATGCTCAGAGCAGAGCCAATAAGCAACTGTTATCCCCTTTGTTCCCCAATTTACAGAAACAAAGAGGTTATACAAGTCACAACAAAGAGAGGGCAATGGAACAGGTTAGCAGCCTACAAATATCTGATGGGTATAAACACCTGGGAAGGAAGGGGACTGTTACTGTGTGATATGGAGATATAGGTAGAAGAAAATGGATTAAATTTAGGCTGAGCATCAAGAAGCAACTTCCTGACAGCGGGAAATGCAAGGCTGGAGACTTTGGTTTCCCCAGGGATGTGGGACTCTGCAGAAGTTACTTGAAAATCTAAAACGTCAACACAAAAACTGCAGAGATGCATGTGCTGTCCAAGATAACACGACATGGAGCTGGGAATTCAAAAGATATGCTCTCAGATGCAATTCAACCTTGAGGTCCAGCACAGGGGTGCTGGGCATCTGCACATGGATGAATTTCACCCTTGGTACATGGAGTCAGTGACCCCTTCACACCAATCAACTACTCTTTTGCAAAGGTGTCTCCGCCCCTGCAGTTAAGAATGGAACAAACAGCACCATCTACTGGCTAAAGCATACAAATTATCTCCCTCAGAAGCATTTGCCTCTGGCTGGATCCACATAATCTTTAAATTGGCTTCTATAATCATACTTTCCAAATTGTCTGTTATCTGAGGTGAGAAATGCTGTTTCCTATGAAGAAACTTAGCAACACATTTCAGAATGCTTATTTACCGACGTCATTTCAGAGCCCACTGCTAGAAAAAAGCAGCACACTCTAGGTTGCTTAAAAAAGAAAATCCTACTATACATTGTTGATATGGAATAGCAAGTTTTCATAGCAGCTTAATGTCCCTAATTGCTTGACTGGAGAAGATTAGTACAAACAAAACTGTTTTTAATTGGAATCGTTACAGTTCTGTTTATTGATCCAACAATACTAACCCTAGTGGATCAGAAAAAGATGAATGGGTTTGGTTTGCCTTAATACATTGATCCATTGTGTTTGAGGAATAGAAGTCTCAATCAAAATGAAACAATTCCTTGAATAATAATTGTTATGGGCCCCGTGGAGCCATTGCAGCTTATTATGCCATTAATCGATACAATATTTAGCACTTGAAACAAATGAATATTGTGCTCATGTCATAAGCTGTTTGAATGTTGATGCCTACATATTATTTTCTTTTTGAAGCTACCGAAAATTAAGAAATGTAATCTACAAATAATAAATAAAAATAAAAACCAGTTACATCTAGGCAGGACAAGGCAGTAGGACAATATGCTCTAGGGAACAGTCCTGCACTATCATGGGAGAATGGACTGGCTCCCCTAGGAATTGATTGCTGTCGCTATGATTCTGCCTGCTGTTTCATGCACCAGGTTCTGGGTGATAACATGAGAGGACTACACTTCTATATGTAAAATGGCTCTTTATTAAGAAAGCCATCTACCGGGATGCTGCAACTGCAGTTAGCATTCCAGCCATGTGCACACAGACTGACTTTCTGGTGCCCTCTCCAGAATTCTCGCCTCCTACAACCTGTGCTCCTCCCTCCAAGTTCCATGCAGGTTGTTACAACTGCAAGCAAAGAAATTCAGATTTCAGTCTCATGTTCCATATTTAACAGGATGGGACAAATTCACTGAAGTCAATGGAGTTACATAAAGGAGAAGTGGGTTAGTTGTGCCTAGATAACGCAGGCATGTGATTTTAGACCTCGATTTAGCCAGATGCCCAAAGATGTGCCTAATTCTAAGCATGTGAGTATCCCCATTGACTTTATACATTTACTTTAAACCATATGCTTATGCATCTTGCTGAGTCAGGGCCACATATACTGCAATGCCATAAGAGCAATCGAGTTCTGCTTTGGCATGCATCAGCAGCCAGTGAATGTAATGCAAGGATGGAAACAGAGAAAGCATTCTAAAGCTGTGGCATGCCTGCTGACATGGCAGATAATAAATGAGGTAAAGAAAGATTACAAAGGGGCCGACCAAAAGTCCATCCAAGTCTCAGAAAGATTCCCATTGGTTTCATCGGCTTTTGGATCAGGCCCTAAAAAACCAAACCTTGTTTGGGTTCTGAACATTAAAAGGCAAGACCAGAACGGTTTTGCAAAACTAAAATCCTGCCTCCTTGGCCCACCTCATCATGGTGCTTTCAGCTAGAATATTACTTTAATAATAATAATAATAATAATAATAAAAAGCTTTCTGGGTACACTGAAAAGGCTATATTTTAATGTGGGTAATTTGATAGATGTAGGTCCCTGCAGGGTTATTGGCGTAGGTCAGGCGGTTTCTGACGTTTTATGGTTCAGACCATTAATTAATGTCATTGTATTGCTGACAGTGTTTTTTAAGTTCTTCGTGAAGCTTTGATTAAATAACGAAGTGCTTCGAGTTTGGGATCAGCCCAAAATAAATCCCAGCATATAATTACAGTAATCGTCTATTCACTGTTCATGAGAAGCTGAGCTGGAAGTGCTTGAACGGGCTTTGCTCTTGCTTAGACCACTGTAAACCAGAGCGACTCCCACCTACCTCAGTGGCTAGATTTGTACCGCTGTTTCAAAACAGGATTGAGCCCGCAGCTACAGAATTTCATACAGAGCTAAATAGTAGTAAAACTAATATATTATAGCAGTATACAGCAACATTAAGTATATACAGAATATATTAGTCTAGGTTAGTGATTTTCAACCTTTTTTCATTTGCGGACCCCTAACAAATTTTTGAATGGAGGCGTGAACCCCGTTGGAAATCTTAGACATAGCCTGCAGATACCAAGGGTCCACAGACCACAAGTTGAAAACCACTGGTCTAGGTTATACATGCAAACACACAGACATCCTCACCCCTTGTTTCTCCCCTCAAAGGAAATCTCTAATAAAACAAGTTTTCCTACTACTTGAAGATATAATCCTGGGAACAGTACCAGGTGCAGTGCTTATTAATTCCATGTACATCAGTAAGAACATGCCAGTGGTGATTGTTATGGCCCTGATCCTGCACGGCAATTAAGCACATACTTAACTTTAAGCACGCAAGAAGTGCCATTCACTTCAATGGGGCTGCTCCAATGATTGAATCAAAGCATTTGCTTAAATGTGTTGCTGCACGAGAGGCTATATTCAGTTTTAAGTATATGCAGGATCATCCCTTCTCTCCTTCCTCTGCATGGGGAGTGGGTCACTTGCTAGGTTCATCTGGGTCTCTCTCACCAAATCAATTCCCTACCATTGCAGGGACCTCAGCTACTGGTGTACCTTGGGCCATCCCATTCTCTGCCTGTGGCACACAACAGTTTAGTCCAGAAGTGGGCAAACTACGGCCCCCGGGTCGGATCCGGCCTGCGTGCCATTTTAAGGCGGCCCGCCAGCTCCACTGGGGAGTGGGGTCTACAGCTCGGCTCCAGCTGGGTACTGGGTCAGGGGCCACTCTGGCGTTCCAGCCGGGGCCGTACCA